ACCCAGGTTCATCAGTTGCCTTCACCGTCTCTTTTGCTTCCTCTGCCTGTGCAAGGTAAACACTCCTAACTGAAGTACTTCACTATGGCTTCCCTAAGAGGGCATGCACGTGCACAGTCATAGCAGATTTCCAAAATCTAGATATTTCACATTTGCAATGTGATCATCCAACCTACAGTCCATGTCCAAATCTCATCGGCTCTCCAACACCCTTTAGGATTTTCACCCTAGCATTTTCTTAAAAGGGAAATTCAAGGGAACAGAAAATATAAGATTGCACTGGATAGGATATTTTCATAAACTTTCCGATTTGTTTCATGCGCACCTGCGTACTAACTGCGATGCAAAACATCATTGTGTGAATCACAGTTAAAAAAAAAAGAAAGCTGGAACACTGTTTAGAGCAGTGGTCTCACGCCTGGCGCCACCCCCAGTTTCTGGCTCAGTAAGTCAAGGGTTGGGTGGAGAGTTCACACTTCAAGTTGCCACGCTTTATCTGAGTCTCCAAACCTAAAATGGTACAACAAGTATTTGCTCAATGGCAATTTTATGATTCTGGTTATAATTCAGAGGTTCAGGAAAGCTAAATGACTTATCAATGATGGTAACAGGGAAGTTTTAGTTCAATTAAATTTAGACGAGTTTATTTGGGCAAAGCAAAACCAGAAACAATTAGGGAATGGAGCAGCCCCAGAACCATAAGCAAGTTCTGAGAACCACCAGCAACCTGAGCGATCACACATCATTAACTTAATTGGCTGCAGCCTACCCAATCAACCAATTGGTAACACCTTATCCAGTTCATTGCTTACAGCCCAGTTAGTTAACTGCTACAGAGCCTTCCCCCAGCCACCTAAGCCCAGTGACCGGCTTGACGTTCAGTTCAAATCCATGGCCTCCCACAAAAATCCAGCAATGGCCACACAGTCAAGTAACGTCAGCAGGAAGCAGAAACCACATCAGTACACGTCTTAACCTAAATTGTTTCCAGCTGTCTCTTGCGTGTGCTCAAATCAAACAATACGCCTTCAGCTGGAGTCCAGGTGAGGCTTCGTTCAAGATGGACGCTTGAGACAACCGTGTTTTCCTGTGCATTTTTGAGGGAAGGGCTCAACAGATGCCCTAAGTCTCCATCTCCAACAGGTTTTTAAAAACCTTTCGGCGCCTGGATGCCCTGTAGACAACGCTAGAGAGCCCGGGCGTCCACTCAGGAATCTGTGAACGACGAATACGACGTACTTTCCAATGCATGCCCCTTTTGAGAAAAGTTGCTCCCCGCCCTGGAACACTCCCGAAGCGGCAGCTCGGTCCCCGGGCAGGGGTGAGGGCCAGCGTTACAGTCTGCGCTTTGGGGTACGAAGGCAGACACGACCCGCAGGGCTGCAGCCCGTCACGTCTGGGGAACAGCAGGCACCAAGCGCCCGCGACCCTCAGCCACACGAACCCCAAAGTCTCTCCCACCCGCCAGGCCAGGCGTCACGCCCTGACTCCTCCTAGGAAATCCGCACTGAGAGATGCAAACCGAGGCCCTGGGCGAGCTGTCACTTCGACAAAGAAGCTCCACCAGCGCAGCCCCAAAGGCTCAAACCGCGTCAGTCGGAGCGGGACCCGCAGCTCTTACCCCGCCCGCCTCCGGGACCGCACCCGGCCCGGCGCAGCCATCGGGCTGCTCTCGGCTCCCGCGGCGCCCACGAAACTCCCGCCAAGCCCCGCGCCGTTTAAAACGGCCAATCCGGGCCGAGCACGCGCCCCGCCTCCCCTCGGCCTGGGTCCCCCGCCCAGGGACCGCGGCTCCCTTCCGGCCTTGGGCGTAAGTGAAAACGTGGTCCGGATCAACAACCGCAACGGAGCTGGAGGCCAGGCCTTCAAGCTGCCGCTGACGGGCCACCAGAAGGAATCCCACTTTTCCGGGTTTTCCCTCCCACCCTAGCCCGGGGCCTGTTTCTCAACGCTGGGACCTCGACCCGCTGGGCCCGCCCACGGGGGCGGGGCTAGTGCTGAGACGTGGGCGGGCACTCAGCAGGAAGGGGCGGATCCCAACCCGAGTCCCCAACTGTAGCTGCAGGGGCCTTGCGCAGTGCACAGGTGCGTTGAGCTGCGAAAGTGGATTGAGCCGCGAGGCCCCGGGGGCATTAGAAGCATCTGAATGAGCCCTGTGTGCTCCTGCTTCCCTCCCCAGATATCTGTAATGGGGCGGGTTCCTACGGGAGCGGATAGTCTGCGATTCTTTTCTTTCTGTTTAAAAAGGCGTTATAATTCAAAAAGATGAATTTGCATATAAATAAGATGAATGTAAAAATATAAATCTATGAGAATGTAAATATAAAATGAACTCAAAATGGATCAAAGATCTAAGTGGAAGAGCTCAAACCACAAAACTCTCAGAAAGGAGGCCCATGCTGTGGCATAGCAGGTAAGGTCATCGTGTGCAGTGCCGGCATCCCATTTGGACGCTGGTTCCTGTCCCGGCTGCTCCACCTCCGAGCCAGCCCTCTGCTCTGGCCTGGGAAAGCAGTAGAAGATGGTCTAAGTCCTTGGGCACCTGCACCCGTGTGGGAGACCCGGAAGAAGTGCCTGACTTCAGATCAGCTCAGCTCAGCCCCTTGCAGCCAATTGGGGAGTAAACCAGCAGGTGGAGGATCTCTCTCTCTCTCTCTCTCTGCCTCTCCTCTCTGTAACTCTTTCAAATAAATAAATAAATCTTAAAAAAAAAAAAAACTCCTTAGAAGAAAAATAGCGCAAAAGCTTCACAAAATTGGTAATGAAAAGATTCTGGAGATGAAAACTGGATGGCTGAGCAGCCACATGACTCTGCTTAGTGCCAAAGAACTGTTCAATTAAAAAACATTTAGCCATGATTTTTGGCAAAGGGTTTAAGATGCCCGTTTAGGAGGCCTGGATCTCATTTTGGTGTGCTTGGGTTCTGTTCCCACCTGGCTGATTCCAGCTTCCTGGTAATGCAGCTCCTAACACGAGCTTCCTTGTTCAAAGAAAACTCATTTATTTGAGAGAGTGAGAGGGACACACACACACACACACACACACAGAGGTCTTCCATCTGCTGGCTCACTCTCCAAATGGCTGCAAAGGCCGGGTCTGTCCCAGGAGAAGCTGGGAGCCCAGAACTCCTTCTGGGTCTCCCATGGGGACTCAAAACAGCACCCATATGGGATACCAGTGTTGCGAGCAGCGGGTAACTGACAGCACAGTGCCTGCCGTTCCCCAGCTGCCTTGTACTGTGCACTCTGGGAGGCAGTGGTGATGGTTTCAGTACTTTGGTCTCTGCCACCCACAGGGAGACCCAGATTGAATTCCCTGCTCTAGCTTCTTTGCCTGGCTCAGCCCTGGCTGTTGTGGGCATTTGGGGGTGAGCAAGTGAATGAGAGAGCTATCTCTGTCTTTCTCTCCCTCCCTTTCAAATGAACGAAATAAGTAATTTTAAATGGTTAAAATGCTACATTTTGTATGAATATTTTCACTACAAAATGCAACATGTGACATGCATACACAAGTATAAAACATATATAATGTAGAGTAGGGTGAGCGTGCCTACAACCACCACCGAGTTAGCGTACATAACTGGGATGCTGGTCTATTAGTCCTCTGAAGAACAGACACTCTTAGGAGTTTATGTTGATCACTCCTATGCTGTTCTACCGATACAACCCTGGATAATGTACCAATTATCGGATGTTTCTAAATGACTTTTGTAGGTATTTGGGAGTTCTCTTTCTTACTTAGAGCTATGCTTTTTATTTTTTTTATTTCATTTTATTTTATTTTATTCACAGGCAGAATTAGACAGTGAGAGAGAGAGAGAGAAAGGTTTTCCTTCCGTTGGTTCACCTCCCAAATGCCGCTATGGCCGGCGCACTGAGCCGATCCAAAGCCAGGAGCCAGGTGCTTCCTCCTGGTCTCCCACACTGGTGCAGGGGCCCAAACACTTGGGCCATCCTCCACTGCACTCCCGGGCCACAGCAGAGAGCTGGACTGGAAGAGGAGCAACCAGCACTAGAATCTGGTGCCCATATGGGATGCCGGTACCGCAAGGCAGAGGATTAACCAAGTGAGCCATGTTGCCAGCCCCCAGAGCTATGATTTTTAGATTTACTCACATTGTATCCACATCCATATGTAGCTGAAGTTCATTAATTTTCATTGCCTTCTAAAATGCATTTAGTAACTATACCACAGTTAATGTTTACTTCTTGTGTACACATACATCAGTTGTTTTCAGTCTTGGTATCATCAACAAGGTAGTCCTGAACATTCTTGTGCATGTGTGCATGCATGTCTCTTTGAAGAAGCCTGGATCTTCTTCTGGGTCTCCCCAGTGGGTGCACTTGAGCCGTCGTCCACTGCATTCTCAGGAATATTAGCAGAGAGCTTGTAGGAAGTGGAGCAGCCGGGTCTGGAACTGGCACCCAAATGAGATGTTAACATCACAGGTGGGGGCTTTACCAGCTACACCATACTGCCGCCCCTCCCCCCATTGCATTTTGATTTTCCTGTCCCTTAAGGTGTCATCTCTTCATCGTTTACAGCTCATTCCCATTTCCTCTTCCATGATGCGCTTGTGCAGGCTCCTGGGCAGCAGCCATGAAAGGGTAATGACCCTTAGGGACTGCAGGTAATTTCCCCACCAACAGGAAGAAACAGGGTTCTTGGAGGGGACTGGGTTGGAAGCTCCAAATTCCAGGCAAGGGGGGATAATGAAACTTCTGTGCTTGCAGGCCTGAAAAATGAAACTTCCCAGCTATGAAGACAGGAAGAGTTTCAGCATGCTGGATGGAAATAAGACAAGCTCCCCCCAAGCAGGTTTCAGAATGAAAAGGAGTTCGTGGGCTTGTCACCGGAAAGCCCTGGGCAGGCTAGGGCATCAAGCTCAGCTTCCCCCCAGGGTCCGGGAGGCATCAGCGCTTCAGATCCGTTTTCTTCTTCTCCTGGTTCGTCAACTCTTCATCAGACCCCGACCCCCGTGTGCCTGTGCCACTATGGAAGCTGTGACTCTCCCTCCCTCCTCCCCTGGCCCAGACTCAGGGATCCGTCACTCTATGCTCTACTTCTATGATGTCAGCCCTTCTGTGATCCCCACACAGGGGAGATGGCCCAGCGTTTGTCTTTCTGTGAGAGCCACCCACCCATCACCTCCATCACCTCCCCAGGGTGCACACAGGGACCCAAACATCACACGGGACCAAAGCCATGCACACATGGTGAATTTTATTCATGAGAAGCATGTGCAAATGCTCAAGAAAAGTTCAGTCAGCTCAGCGGATAGCTCCTGGAGACAGGGGCGGGGCGAGGCTACTTGGGGACCACTCTGCAGCAGCTGCCAGGGCTGCTCCCTCGGGACGGCAGGATGCAGCACGCCCTCAGCAGGAACCGGAGGATCCTCCTGCCGACCCCGCGACGGCCCTGCCTCTTGCCCTGGGCGCTGGCCTTGGTGTCTGTGGTGTCAGCATCCTTGGGCTCACGGGATGCGGCGGCGGCGGCTTCTGGCTCTGCAAGGTCCACGTGGCTCCCGGCACTGGGGCCGGAGGGCGACGCTTCGGAGGCTGGCTCAGGGGCGGCGCTGGGAGCAGGGCTCCACTCTTGCTGTGGCTGGCCTGGTAGGAGAGAGTCAAGTGTGGGGTCACCTCGGGGGCCTTGGGCTCAGCTCCTGGAGGCCCCGAAGTGGCAGGGGATGTGGGGAGAGGGCAAGACTCACTGGAGGCCTGGGAGGAGTTGGGGTTGGCACTAGGATCAGGGCTCCTCTCCTGCTGTGGCTGGCCTGGTGGAGAGAGTCAAGAGTGGGGTCACCTCGGGGGCCTTGGGCTCAGCTCCTGGAGGCCCCGAAGTGGCAGGGGATGTGGGGAGAGGGCAAGACTCACTGGAGGCCTGGGAGGAGTTGGGG